TACAGATGCTTTTTTAGGATAGTGAAACACCCACCATATAATCATAATATCATTTTATTCATTATAAAGTATTTTTCTCCTACCTAACAATACGGTGTTAATAACCCTACTTCTCGTAACTTCACCTAACATGCAGAATGTAAATATGAACTTGCCACCATTTCATTCTTCTTAAAGGAGGAGTAATAATTATCATTTCATTTTGTATTATTTTTTTCTTTCTTTCTTACTAATATCTCACTATATATTTTTAAAAATTCTTATAGAGGCGAAGAATGAAAAATTGGTGATTAATACTTTAAGAAAAGGAGCAACTGGCAACTCACACACCTATCATGGAGTCTCTTTTGGAAAAAAAGAGATAAATAGATAAATAGAATCATGTTGAAAAAGCTGAATTTAATTTTTAAAAAGAAAACATTTGCTATATATATAAATAAGAAAAATGCCATCTATATGTTATAAGAATAAAAATAAAAAGATTCTTGGAAAAAAGTCCTCCAGATCGAAAGTGAGTTGCCAGTTTTTATTTTTGTTCTCAATACTGGACGCATTATGACGAAAGCTATTAAAAAAACAATCATCACCAATCTGTCTGTTATCAGGTAATCAACATGATCAACCTGTTATCATCATCAACTTGTCAAGTACAGCTTTGCCTCAAAATATAATAAAAAAGAAAGAAAGAAAGAAAAAGTTTATGCACTCAAAATATTCCACTAGGAAGGCAGTATTGCCACTTGTCGGAAGAAGAAAAAAATATGCTAATAAAAAATAAGAAAATAAAAATGATAGAAACTTTGCAAATGTGTAATCATTTTTATGATCTTAAATTTAGGTGATTATCAAGGCAAATGATGCATATACAAATATATCTAGAAAAAAAGTAGAAGAAAAAGATAATCGTACAAAAAATGTCTGAAGCTTTAAAAGTTCTCGTGAAAAAAAATGTAAATTCTTCACTATAATCTTGTAACTAATAATTAAGGAAAAGAATAAAAGAGAAAGAAAGAACAAATATACCTAATCCTCCATGAATTCTGCAAAAATGTTCAAAGTCTATATTCATATGACACGAGTAAATATACATACTAATATATATGTGTATTAGTAAGTGTTCTGTACACACAATAAAAAATTCTGATCACTCCTAAATAGTAATAATATGAAGAACATTTTTTTAACAAATTCTAAAATGAAATGATTGATTTAACAAATGTAATATTATGCAATGAATGATGATAAACTTATACATGATGAATGATTTATATTTCTAAAAATTATCAGATGATATTGAGAACGAAATGCTAAACACACAAGCGATTGTCATAAGCAAAAAAAAAAAAAAAAAAAAAAAAAAAAAAAAAAAAAAAAACGAAATGAGATGTAATGATGTACAAACATGCATACGAAATTAACAGAAAAAAATCTTCATTTCGTTCATAATGCCTTCCTAACGTGACTAAACTTCATTACTCGTCGAAAGTAAACACCAAAAGTGCTAAAATAATGCAAAACATTAATAATTCCATATACATTCTTCATACCATTCTGTATATATACATTCTTTATTCTTTATATTCTTTATATTTATTTTTTATTATTCCTTATTCCATATGCATTCTTTATACCATTCTTTATTCTTTATACATTCTTTATTCTTTATATTCTTTATATTTATTTTTTATTATTCCTTATTCCATATGCATTCTTTATACCATTCTTTATTCTTTATATTAATCTTTATTCCATATGTATTCTTTACACCATTCTTTATTCGTTATATTCTTTATATTCATTCTTTATACCATTCGTTATCAAATATATGGAGTCACTTGGGGGTCTAGACTTCACTGTGTATTCAGCAACAGGGAAGTGTATATATCAGTGTACAATGATCTTTTTCACAGATATTGTTAATGTATCGCCAATAGGTAAATAATATGTGTTTTGATAAATACACAGAGGGAATGGGGGAGGGAGATTGAAAGGGAGACTGGGAGAAGGGAAGACAGAGAGAGAAATTGAAAAAAGAAAGGGGGGAGGGAAGGGGAGAAGGAAAGCGAGAAAAGCAGATAGACAAAGAGGGAGAGAAAAAAAAGAAAGGGAGAGAAGGAGAGAAAGAGAGAGAAGAGGTAAATACAGAGACGGATTGAGCCAGAATGAGAGAGAGAGAGAGAGAGAGAGAGAGAGAGGGAGAAAAAAACACGTACGAAAAGAGAAAGAATCAGTCAGAAAGACAGAAGGGAAAAAAAAAAAAAATAGAGAGAGAGATAAACGAAAGAAAAGAGCTTATATCCCTTTTCCACTCATAGGTTGTGATTATAAATCCGATCAGTATAAAATCATCCATAAATGTCGCAAGAAATTAACACCTCATGAATATAAAGTATTCTACTAATCTATCATACATCTTTTATTATAATATCTTGTATTGCTTTTATTTCATCACAGATCCTCTTCGCTGACTATAATAGAGAGTAAACTTTTTAAAAATATTATATGTGAAAGTATTTCTTATATATTTGAGCTAAAAAAAAAAAAAAAAATCAAAAAAATAAAAGTAAAATGAATCCCAAATTCAAGTAGTTCATGATTTTTTTTTCATTTTCATTTTCATTTTCCTTCTTTGCTTCTATGAAGAGAGAAAAAACTCTACACAGGTCATGTATTAACGGTTATGCAGTATTAGCGTAAATTGCGTTACAGCAGCACAGCTTACATAACATCACAAGTTATGTAATAATGGCTAAAGTTATTGCATGATAAGTTAACATAGGTTTCATAATGATAGTATTGCATGATAACAGCGTTACAAAACCATAGCAGAGGTTACGAATAACTGTATAAGTTGCGAAATATTTCAGATTACGTAATAACTGCACATATTACGCAAAAAACAGCAAAAATTATATAAAATGCAGGTTACGTAATAAAATCTGCACACACTCGAACGCAACAAAATGCACGCCAGTTAGTCGCTGATTCCTCGGTTGCCAATGTCCCAATTTCGTCCCTGTTGGTTTATCTGAATCTGAAACGAATTAATCTATGTTAGTAAATTATTATATAAAAAGGAAAAGAAAATAATAATTCTATATATTAGGGAACAAAAGAAAGAGAATAGAAGAGAAGAGTATTTTTTTTCAAGATATTATTTGATTAATACGACGCGGCAGTGAAATAGGTTAGTCTGCCCTGAAACGGAGTGAGGAAAACGAGAAAGCAAAACAAACTTGTTAATATAATTATTGTCGTTGTTTATACTCCTTTTATTAAATTTATTGAAAGATTTTATGGAGATGTGATCACTTAATCCTTCCTGCAACTGAACATGATTATATGAGGAAATTTATAATAATATTAATGGTGAATATCATAAGAAACACACATTAAAAAAACGATGCTGTTATCTATATATTTACAAATCATAATGTAAGAAATAAATGATTAGCGAAGCGTTGATAAGGTTTATAAAATACAACCTTTGCAGTGTGTGTGTGTATTTACAGAATATATATATATATATATATATATATATATATATATATATATATATATATATATATATATATATATATATATATACATTTACACACACACACACACACACACACACACACACACACACACACACACACATATATATATATATATATATATATATATATATATATATATATATATATATATATATATGATCATACCTTTCATCACATCACAGTGCTCCGTCTAACTTTCTTGGCAAAGTAGACACTTTTTTTCTTTTTTCTTCATTTTCTTTTCTTATCAGCAATATCTTACCTCGGTGCAATAACTGAAGAACCAACACCAGGTGTCTTGTCTTCTCCTTCATATCTAATCACATCGAAACATTTATTAAACATTTATCAAACATTTATCATTTCTTTGTTTGCGTGGGCCCGACCAAAGAATTTTTATTTATTTCAACATATTTATTTCTATCTATCTCAACGGTAGTTATGCATGTTTAGACTGATAGATAAAAATTTATTTCAGTGTATATGTCCGTATGATAATTTATTGGGTTGGACCTCGCACAATTTTAACTGGTTGATTGACTACACGTATGTGCTAAAGAAAACTTGCGTGCATTGTGTCTGTAAGTGTGTGTGTGTGGGGGGGGGGGGGGTAGTGTGTGTATGCATGTGTGTGGGTGAGTGGAGGTGTGTGTGTGTGTGTGTGTGGGTGTGGTGTGTGGTGTGTGTGTGTGTGTGTGTGATATGTGTGTGTGCTTGCATGAACGTGCATGCGTATTTTATGTGTGAATGTTGAAATATAATGGTACCTTTTTTCTCACATTTTTTTTCTGTCATGTCTTATCATGCGCCGTAGTGAAGATAATGTGTAAAATCCAGCAAGGCTTTTCATGCATGACCCACATGACAAAGACAAAAGCATGCATGGATGACACATAGCACTGTGGTGTAAAAAAAAATCGTGTCCATTCTTATTTTTAGATATGTATATATATATATATATATATATATATATATATATATATATATATATATATCCTAATTCTATCGGCTGTAATTTCATAATTATCCTATTACATTTCGTTATTTTTCTTCTTTTAGCACGTCTATGTTTCCATGTGAATTAACTCCTTGATATACATACTGATATAAAATTCCCAGTTCTCATTTCTGTGAAATTATATCTTATTTCTGTGCTCATTATTATCATCAGTTTTTTTTTACTATTCTTATTCCCTTTTTTTTATCCATCTAACTCCTAAACGCAGTTCTATTTCCCTCGGACACACACGGACCATATAAATCTTAAATCTTTGTTCATGATCATTTTTTTTCTACCTCGGTATTTTTGTAGAGATGCATTTTTTTTTTCTATCTTACTGTTATTATTGATTTGTTTTTGCTTTTGATACCAGATGATTTTTTTTTCTTTTTGGTTGTTGTTGTTATCTAAATCAATTCATATTTTGGATAAAGAAACGGCACTAGACTGAAGAGTTATTTCGATTTTTTAATCTTTATTTCAGTGTTATTAAGATCCCTTCGGAATTCAGTAAGTGTTAGATTCAAATTATCGACTTACCACAACAATAGCATAAGGGAGAGAAACAGACAGACCTTTATGTATAAAAGTGTTTTAAGCTTAATGCATACGTTACTGAATGATTATTTTCGGAAATTCAAGCTTTTTTTGTGTTAAAATTGTTAAAAATCTAACGCAGTCTTAGATGAAATAAGCGAAATTATTCTATAGTGTCGTTAACGCATCGTCATTATTTAAAATGCATAATGAAATGGTTTAAATTCTAGCAAAATGCTTGTGAGCAGTTCTCGTTAAACTAGAAAAAAGTTATTACGAAATAGCTTTGAAAACTGTATAAAAAAATGCTTTACATATGTTGGCCGAGTTTTGAAATTATGTGAGTAAATAATCGACTAAGTTTGAGTTATGATCTATAATACATATTCATTTGGTCTATCGTGGTTTTCAGCAAAGGCGACTGATTGTAAATAAACCGCAACTTAGAAATAGCAAAAAAAAAAAAAAAAAAAAAATCCCAAATGTAAGTGTTATGCCGTCTTTCAAATTTCAAGAAACAACATGGTAAGCGAAAGAAAATAACAAAACAAAACAGAAACAATAGTTGATAGCAATGACATGCCGAAAGATGGCGTTAGCGTTCACTAAAACAGAGGGGGAAAATAATCCTATTTCCTACAAATTCCTCTTTTTAGCTTATCCTTGTCTCTCTTGTACGTGTTAACTTTCCAAAAGACGTCCACACAAGTCAGAAATGTGGTCGTATCATGCAGGAAGACCACTGATCTACGCTAAGCTAGTGACTACAGAATCTACTGCAGTTTTCGCTATTGTTGGTGCCTTTGTTGCCACCGCTACTGTACGAAAGCAGTCTGCTGCCGCCGGCTAGCCTGGTAGGTGGCGCAGAGGTCGACCCCGTGCCATAGGTCGAGCCAAACCTGCTGCCCGTTGTGGACGTTCCGCTGCCAGAACTGCCGTAAGAGCTCAGCGATGAACCAAGCCCAGTTCTTCCAGCGTCGCGGGTTCCTGTGCTGGTGGAACTGCCATATCTAGAACTAGGGCTACTCTTACTAGTATCACTCGCACCGGAAATGCCATATTTACTTCCGGTGCCTTTGCTACTCGTATCCGATCTACTTTGTAACGAAGATGTGCCATATTTGTCACCAGAAGTAGATGATAAGCCATACCTACTCCCGGCACTGGTGTCAGAACTACCTGTTGAAGCTGTGCCATACCTGCTACCTCTGCTCGTGGGACCAGAGTCAGAGCCATGAGCCAAGGAGGATGAAGTCAGCCTACCGGCACTACTAGCACCGGTGTATGGCCGAATGGTAGATGTTCCATACCTACTACCATATTTTTTCTCCACCAGTCCTCCTGACGCTGGAGAATCTAGACCATACCTACTCAGCGCATTATTCTTGCTGGTGTCAGCGGTCTGGCTGTACCTGCTCCCTGTACTGCTGCTGCTAACATCAGTCCTGCCTGCTTGTGTAGAAGGAGAATCGTACCTACTGAAACTGCTGCTGTAGGTGCTGCCAAAACGAGAGGTCGTCGGATCTCTGATGCGTGACAGAGAGGGTTCTCTTGTGCTTGTGCGAGACAGTGAGGAATCCCTCACACGGGACAAGGAAGAGTCTCTGGTGGATCCGAAACGACTTGAGGACAGGTCGCGACTCCTTAGACTCAAAGAATCACTTGGACGAGGCAGAGAGGAGGAGACGCTACTAGTGTCCTTATCCCGGGAATACAGACTTCGGGTCGTCGTGTCCCTCGAGTGTCGGTCGTCAGCAGTTGTCGCCCACCTGTTTTTCGAAAGAGCCGAACGATTGTCTTCGGTTGACTGCTTCCTGAGGTAGAAGGGGATCTCCGTGGTCTTGGTCTCCGATTCTCGACGCCTCATGAATGGGTGGGACGTCCTCTCCGTAGTGGCAGTGCCTGAGAATACTTTGTTTCCAAAGACTGTATCCTTCGGCTCCTCTGGCTGGGTCGCTCTCGTTCTCCATCTGTTAGTGACAAAGCTTTGTGGTTTGTATTCATCTGTTGTGGCCTTACTGCTACTGGTGTCTTGTGTTGTTTTAGAAGCATCGTCTTCAGTTCGTCGAGAACGCCATCTGTTAGTGGAAAAGCTATCAGGTTTGTATTCATCCGTAGAGGTCTTCCTTTCTTCAGTCTTCTTGGTTTCCGAATCCTCTGGCTTGGGCCGCACTCGCCACCTATTGGTTGAGAAACTAGTAGGCATATATTCTTCAACAGAAGCCTTTCTTTCGGTGTCTTCTGTTTTCTTGATCTCAGAATCCTCTGGTTTGGATCTTGTTCTCCACCGGTTGGTAGAGAAACTGGAGGGCTTGTATTCTTCAATCTTAGTCGAAGTGTCATAGGACTTCTTCGTGTCCGAGTCCTCTTCTCTACTCCTGGTTCTCCACCTGTTCGTAGAGAAGCTCTCAGGCTTGTATTCCTCCATAGATGTCCTTCTGCTGCTGTAGGACGGCGAAGTCTCATAACTGACAACACCCTCCCGACGCCTGGTAGCCGGAGGTGCATCAGGGGACTTGGCGCCAGACGGAGGCGAACGCTTACGGGCATAGGGTATCTCAGGCACCTTGAGGGTTTCTGGTCGTCGACGTCGGCCGGTCGTCTCCACTGGTTGGGCCTCCTGTTCTTCCTCCTGCGGCTGCGGACGGCGACGTCTCTCCACCGGCTTCTCCTCTTCGCCAGTGTCCAGTTGGTAAAGGAGCTCAGTTATCACACCAGGCTTGACGTCTCCTTCGCTCTCCTCGACTCTCTTGTTGGGGTCTACTGCTGCTTTTATAAAGAAGAACTCCGCATCCTCTGTTTCCACATAGTGCATTCCACCTGTGCCACCCCAGAGCTCCACATCCGAGCTGCCAGAGCTCATCCGTCCAATCTTCACCATAACCTGAATCACAAGAAAAAGGAAACAAAGATTGCTTTTCGATTAAATTTGCAAACTACACATCAAACTTTCCATTCACATAATTTTGGGGGGTTAACAAGGATTAAAACTATTATAGATAAGAGATAGAAGAGATGGATCTGTCATCTTTAATCAAATAATATAGATAAAAGATAGAAACAAGAGATGGATCTACGCTAAACCCTCAATCGCTAATAGCCAGATTCCCTGACACCAAACCCTCGATTATTAAAGACTTGCTAAGGTAAGAATAACAAACCTTATAACATTGATTTGCTTCGATTCTGACGGGTGTGGAGAACATCAGACGCACATCTGCTGTCTCTTGTTTCTCCCCGGATACACGGCAGTATGTCTGGCAAAGGAGTAGAAGTTGGGGGGAAAAGGCAAGCAAACTGTTTATTATTATGAAATTGTGTACCTAGATGTTTTTTTTTTTTCCTTTTTTGATTTTACTGAAACTTCTTACCTCAAAGTAGCTTTGAAATTCTGCAAAACACTAGAAAATGTAATATCAAAGTGGAGGAGAGTTATTCCACTTTAATATTGTAAGTTATTTACAATAAAATCATCTCAAACAATAATAGCCAAAGAGACTTTATTGTTACTAAAACTTCCACTCCAAAACCCTGAAATTAGTCACCAGAACATACACACACACACACACCACACACACACACACACACACACACACCACACACACATATATATATATATATATATATATATATATATATATATATATATATATATATATATATATATATATATATATATATGTTACTTCAGCTTTCTTCTTTCCTTCAAGATGAATTTCCTTACATCACTTATCTTTCCTATTCATCTAACACCCCATACCTTCTCTATATCTGTCCACTGACGCGTCTCCCAAGGACCTTGACAATGGACTGTCACGCCCATGTCTGTGCTGCTGAACAGAAAACCAAAACCGACGCCCAAGAGCTTGATGTTCTTGTCCACGCGGAACCTCAGTTCGTGGGACTGGTAGATCTGAAACCGATGGAGACTGTGAAGTACCGGTGTATTGGGTGACGTGTGATGTGCCTTTATTTTTATTATTATCTTATTTTCTTGTGTTTTATCTTCGTATCCGTTTGAAGTTACGGTGTGGGGTTACTTTTAACTACCTGGGAAGTAGATTAAAGTCAGACACTTGGCTGAACCTCAAGAGAAGGCTCCAGTTTTCCTCTACCGTTGGACAATTTCTTTTTTCTTTCTTTTTCTAGCTATATGGGCCAGGTGTTTAGGACTTTATTTTGGAGGAAAAAAATCTATTACCATTAATTGTCTAGAAATTAGTATCGAGATTTCGGCTACGTTTCCTCACCTCCTTCTGCGGACACCTGTAACCTTTCCGGAACCTGCAGACTTTGTTGAACTCGAGCAAAGAGCCGTTCTGTGTAAGAGAGGTTATCTGTGGAGAAAAAATAACTGTCAGAAGAGGGAATAGCTTGGTAAAAGGGATTGGGGAAAAGGATTGGGTGCTAAAGGGTGTTTAGGTTAGGGAAGAAGGGAATTGGAATCTTTTAGACAGTTTTGCGAGTTATTATAGTCATTAGATTTTGTTTTCAATCCCTTTGGTTGGTAAGAACTTTGATGACCATGTAATGAAAATGCAAAACAAAATATGAGGAAAATGATAAGCACAATAAAATAAAATGCATGTTGACTCCTTATAAATATGGATTGAATTAGGTGCAATGCAAATACAAAAAAATTATAGATATCAAGCAAAACTGAAGCAAAAACAGATGATCAAACAACTTTTTTTTAACGGACATAAAGAAAAATAATAAAAATAAATCATTAAAATCATAAAGCGCTTCCCGCTACCCTCCAAATCCCTCCGTTCCTACAAACACAGGTTCCTCGTACCACGTTGTACCACTCTGCACCCCTCCGTACCATCTTGCAGCAGGAGGAAGACGGGAAACACCCTCACACATTACGTACTTTGTTCACGGTCTCGGCTACGGGCGTGAGGTGGTTGTGAGTCGCCTTCTTGTCCTTGTGGGTGGTGGCAGGACTCCCCTTGGAACCCCTTCTCTCCTTCAACTCGGGGTCAGAGGTTGCACAAAACCACAACCAGAATGGAAGCTACAGAAGGACACAGGACAGGATCCGAAGAGGGAGCGGGTTGTGAAAAGGGAGGGAATGGAAAGAGAGAGAGAGATAAGATGGAGTGGAGGAAAGAAGGAGAGTGAAGACGAGAGGCGGGGAAGAGAGGGTGGGAGTGAGGGAAGGAGAGAGAGGGAGAGAAAGAGATAGGAAGAGAGGGTGAGAGTGAGGGAAGGAGAGGAAGAGAAAGAGAGAAAGAGAGAGAGAAGGAGAAGAAGGAGGGAGAAGAAGAGAAAGAAGAGGAAAGAAGAAAGTAAAGGAGGAAGGAGGGGGAAAGGGGAAATAACAATACAAACGAAAACGGAGCCAATTGGATCGTACGAAAACGGGAAGAATCATCGCATGGGAAAAGAAAACGGGAAGAACCATCGTATAGGAAAAGAAAACGGGAAGAATTGTATGGGAAACGAAAACGGACATTGTCGTATGGGAACAGAAAACGGGATTTTTTTTCGTATTGGAAAAAAAAAAAAAACAGTAAAAACATGACAGCACATGACGGACAAAACATGAAACAAAGCGAACAATAACATAAATTCAGGACAAAAATGGATATAAAATCACAGCGTAATGACACATGCACAGTGAAAAAATGTAAATGAAAATAGAAGAAGAATGGGCAGAAAAGTATTTGATAAACCGATAAATGCAATTATGAACAAATTTGCAAAATACCCATTCCCACAATCAGTCATCAGTGAAAAAATATATATGAAAGTACAACAAAGGAAAAAATGAAGCAAAAACATATAAACATATAATCACAAAAACGGTAACACGATCAAAAAGAGAGAAGGTTAAACAGCAAAGGTTTAATAAGAATTTTAAATAGAAATTTAGATAAATTTCAATGGAGAGTTAAAGAAACCGAAATAGTTGGAATTGGAAAAAAGGCGTAATTTTTTCAGAAATTTAGGCAAGACAAGCATCAGTCGGTGAAGATAAAAGAGATAGTTATAGAAGCCGAATAGTGAAGAAAAGATTAGGATAAATTTTGAGTAATAACAGAAAGTGGAATGTGTGAAAGGTAATGGGTAGGGTTAAGAAAAGAAAAGAAAAAATATGTTTAGTTTGCGCTCCAGAAGTTATTTTAGAGCTTGGATTAGAGACATAAGAAATATCTACTATTATACTAAGTAATTATGCTACTGTGTGAAAAATGTGGAACAGATATCAATAACTACATTTCTTTATTCTCAAAACCACCTAAACAATAACAGAAAAAAGATTTTGAAAAATTGTAACCCAATGCAAAATATAAGGCCTTTTCGTCATGGCAAAGTATGGCAACCTGCATACATATATATATAAAAATGTCAAAATATGAGTCTATTCCTGTTCTTATGAAATAACTGCTGCAAATTGAAGACTTCCAGAGTCAATTTGTGGAGTTGAACATGAAACAGCTAAGACTCGGCAAATATACAGTGGACTCTACATGTATTTTTGAGTGCATATGTATGAACACTTATATAGTTCACGAACACATGCCGTGTTCTACAAGACAAATAACAAAAAAAAGGACCTTGTGACAGACAAAAAGGGATAGGAAAGTTTCTTTTCCTTTTGAAAAACGAGACAAATGTACGGAAGATAAATAAAAGCTACTAAGACAGCAAAGGACAGAGACCTGTTTGTTGTTGTTGAAATCGAGGTTCCGGGGAATCTCGAGGCCGTGGGTCATGAAGAAGGCGATGACCTCGGCTTTCCCGAGACACTCCGAGGTCAAGACGGTGTTGACGAAGTCCCTGTCGGAGATCTTGTCGAAGTCCACCACTTTAATGAGGTCCTCGACGACGTCCCCAAGTTGGGTCATCTTGAGGCCCTTCTCCCTGACGTAGCGGAGACCCCAGTCGCGTATGGCCTCGAAGAGCTTCAGCTGGTCGTCGAACTTGAGGTCCTTCTGCATCAACATCTTCCGGATGATGTCACGCTCGAGCCTCAGAAAACCCTCGCAGGGGATGATCTCGTTGGCGTGTTTGGAGATGATCTGCCAGCACTTGTCGCACATGTCGTTCAAGCTCTTCTCGGACAGCACCAGCAGGTCGAACAGGTTGGTCTTCATCTCTTCGGTGGAGGGTTCGAAGTCGTCGATGAAGCCTTCGAGATAATTGAGACTCTTGATCCCGAGGCCGGCGAGTCCCCACCGCTTGCTCGCGCGAAGCAGTTCGAACGCTACTTTGATGTCCGAACAATCGACGCTGTCTGTGTAAATGTACCTGAACACGGAAGGGAAGAAAGAGGGAAGGAAATATCATTTTGATAATCTATTATTATGCTGTTATCACAATTATGATTAGTAATATCATTATGAATATTATTAGCCTTAAGACATAATAATAATGATAACGATAATATTAACAATAATAATAAGTCATCATAATGATAATTATTGTAATTATTGTTGTTATAATGAATCCTATATAATAGGTCTAATTCATATTAAACAATGTTACTAATTTGCTTCTACTTTATGCCGTTGTTCATATTATTACAAGATTTCAACAAAAATGAAATCGGGCGAGTCGCGACCGTAGAGTTAAGTCGCGACTGCATTTTTGTGTATGTATGTTTGTGCGTGTGCGCATATGTGCCCGTCTGTGATGCGCGTGCGTGTATATATATGCTCGCGTGCCTGTGTATGCATGTCCGTGTGTCCTGCAAAGCGTACTGATAACTCTTTCACTTACTTCAGGATAGGTTCGAAGTCCTTTGGCAGCATGTCGTGGACTCGGATGGTGGTGACTTCAGTGGGACTCGGATGGGGGTTGACAGCGTACACCAACCTGTACAGAGGCTGACTGGCTGTTGCGAGTAACAACCGGTGAGCCTGTTCGGGAGCACACGTGGTGATTCGGTTGTTAGATAGGTATGGGTGGAGAGATGGGGTTTGTGTATGTTTTTTCTCTCTCTTTTTCTTTCTCTTTCTCTCTTTGCCTCTCTCTCTCTCTCTCTCTCTCTCTCTCTCTCTCTCTCTCTCTCTCTCTCTCTCTCTCTCTCTCTCTCTCTCTCTCTCTCTCTCTCTCTCTCTCTCTCTCTCTCTCTCTGTGTGTGTGTGTGTGTGTGTCTTTTCATATATTCATTACACACACATCACACATATATATATATATATATATATATATATTATATATATATATATACACAGTATATAAATATATATATATATAAGTGAAAGAAAATACATTTTAATTTTACCTTGAAAACCACGACGTTATTCCCTTGTCCAACCCTGATGTTCACGTCAGCAAACTGCCCGGTGTCGAGAAGGTACTGAAGTCTCTCAACCACCGACATTTCGCCTGTGACTGACATCTG